CAGTTTGGAGATCCATTTATCCATCTCGGCCATTTCTTCTTTGTCTTGGATAATCAACCTTGCATGTTTTTCTTCTGCCTCTTTTTTCCTCTCTTGTAAGAGCCCTCTGAAGTCTCCAAGGATTCCATCTTGTCCTTTATTCCATGCTTCCTGTAATTATTTTTTGTATGCTGGATACTTTTCATAATTTTATTGTAAAATATTTTTAGATAATATAGGAATAAGGGTGTAAGTAATATACTATTGATTTTTCTTTCTTTAAAATTTCTTGCCTTTGATAAAAAAATTATTACTTCATTTTTCTTAATTACTAAGAATTAAATCTTAAGAATTGTAAACAAGAAAAAAGGAATAGAAGTGACTCTTGAAAATATACTTCTAATTGATTTAAGGAAAATAATAGAACTATTAATTAAGAAGTAGAAAACCTTTTTGTGAATTTTTTTTTTTTTTTTTGTGTGTTGTAAACTTTATATAAACATATAAATATATGATTTTACAAAAATTATTACACGGTATTTGTTACCATACAACTAATAAAACATGAATTGCAGATGAGAAAATTTTCTCTTCGTTCCGGACGATTTAGTTAACGCTTTTAAAAATTCAACAGAATATATTTATTTCTTTATGTATTACCTTTTTTAAAAAAAAAAAGTTGAGCAATTCATCGAGGATGTATAAGACTAAGTGCACAAGACATTTGAAAGTAAAACTGTGGGGTGATGGTAAAAATAATAAAATACAGTAGAACAACCATCAAATATGTCTAGTTGAGAATTGAATGAATATCTATGATGAAAAACTTTCACACATCTGATTTTCTTGTTTTATTAAGTGTAATTTCTCATCTATATAAAATCGGAAGTAGGCTTCCATTTTTTGTCGTCTGCCTCATTAAATTGAATTGCAATATCCGATAAATCTGGCTCATCAAGAGCAAAAGTCCATTTTTTAAATGTATTATACAATTCACTTGCGCTTGGTCTTTCTTCGGGGTTCGAACTCCAGCATTTTGTCATCAATTCATAATACAAATTCGGTATCATTTCCTTCGTGATTTTAGGTCGCAAATCTTTAGAACAAATATCTTCGACGAGATCCTGGTTGTGATCTCTATCATAATAAGGTTTTTTTCCAGTGGAAATTGTAGCCATGATAATCCCGAAACTGTAAATATCGGCAGCTTGGTTAAATTTGCAAACTTCTTTCTCTTCTGGCTGCTCTCCCCTTAGTATTTCAGGGGCAACAAATGGTAGTACTCCATAGTTATCGGTAAAAGAGCGTTGTTTATCAGCTGGGCCATAAAGGCCAACATCGGATACACGTGCTTCTACAAAGGTAGTCTTATCTTCGATAAGTATGTTGCCACCATGTAAATTTGAGTGAAATTTTCTTTCAACATGGATTTTATAAAGACCTTCGGCGATACTTTGTAACATGTCAATGTTATCTCTCCAAGATATAATATCGTAATTTTTTTCGAGATATTCGTATAAATTTCCATCTTCATAAAATCTCATTACGAATAGGTAATTTCCAAGATAATCTTCTGTAATTCCAAAGAAATCCGTGAGGGATCCATTTGTTAAAAGTTTAACATATTTAAAAACCTATAGAATAATATGGAATAAGCGTACGAATTATTTATAATACAAGTGCAATAAATAGTTTTTTACGAGGACGAAGACATATTCTTTGAATTGTTTAATTTTTTTAAGGCAACCTTCATGTTCGTTTCAGATTTCCAGATATTTTCTGATGAATCCCAAATCCATTCCGGTCCATCTACCCAGAGGGCTTCATAAATACTTCCGTATCTTCCATCAGCAAAATGTTTAACATCTTTTAATCTATCAAATTTTATAAATAACAAATAATCACTTGCTGCCGTCGAGTATTTCTGAGACCACTGTATTATTTTGTTAAGAGAAGGATTACATGTCCATTCGCGAAATCTATTTTTGAACTTTTCTGCCGCACATTGTTGGCACCATCTGGAATCTTCTTTTCCTCCATCACCGTGCCGACATCCAGCAAGAACTTTTTTATTCATGGATTTATTAATAGTGACAATTTTTCTCAATTTCAGTTCGATCCAAGATTTTCGTTATAAATAATATAATAAAAAAAGAAACGTTCATGATGTAAAGCAAGAAATAAAAACCAGGTACTCGCAAATGATTCGATTATTTTTCTTTATTTTGCAAGGTGTAATATATATATATATTATGTAGTACATTTAAAGACAAATATCAATATATAACCTATAGACGGAATTATTTACATTCATAAGATTATCATATCTATCTTAAAAACCGCCTTAGAAAAATAATCAAAATTCTGCAATAAAAGAAAAGACATACAAAGAATGATGGAGTGTGAGAAAAAGTTTTTAAATATGACATAATTAGTCGAAAATGCATTTGGCGTAACCGGCGCGCAGTTGTGGAAATCTATCTCCGTGTAATGTATACTACACCTATATTCATACATTTTTCAAAGATTCATTTAATTAATAGAGTGAGTCGAGCTTTAGTTTAATTATAGAGTTTAGCTCATAATATATTATTGTTACTATTATTTGAAAATATTTTAATTAATATTTTTTAATTTAATATTTTTAAATATTTAGGATTTTTATTTTTTATTTTTTTTTATACCCGTAGTCAGGTCAGCATAGTGTGTTTATTAATCATAAATAACAAAACTGCTTGGGATACATTGGGCAAATAAATATTTAGGATTTTTATTTTTTATTATTATTTTTTTTTTTAACCGCAACTGGTATTAGATGTGAGTCTTTTATTAAGAATTATCTTAAACTTGGACCTGGGTCCTTTGGCATGACACCAATCATCTCTTACAAACTATATATCTCTATATACTGTACATGCAAATTAATAATAACTTATCACAGCTTGTCCTAGTTAAGTCTACACATTACTCTGAAAATAAGGTAGACTCAATTAGGGGCTGGTGGTTGATAATAGTCAAAATGGTGCTATTGATATAGTTAGCACATTTGTTTACAAAAGAACTCTCAATATTTATACTAACTTATACATTAGATTGAATCCGCAAGAGTTATTTAATCACTCAGATACTCTAATACTTTTTACTTGAACCTCAGAAGGGATTTCTTTCTTCTTTGTCACCACCTGCGGCATCACAAACAAACCCTGTTCGGTAAGTCCTTCATTTAAGCAAGCACTGGATTGGGATATTTCAAGCTAGAGTGGTTAGGTGATAGTTTGGTTAGAGAAATCAGGTTTTTTGTTGTACTGAACCTGAAAACCAGTTTGGATCAAGATATAGGTCATGGGTCTTTCCTTATTAGGGGTCATGATCCTAATAAGACGTGATCATCCTATACCGATCTTTTGGAGGGGGTAAACTGATCACAGTTTTTGATAGAATCTTGGAAGAAAATTAAAACAAAAGGATGTCCCATTGTCATATTTCTTGAGTTGAGTGGTGGTGGTATTATTAAGTATTCAAAGCAAAAGCTCTCATCTAGCTGTTCACTTCTGATCAACATGATGGCAGTCTAG